CTTGCTGCCGGCTTCATGGCATCATGGAGGCTTGGGATTTCGGGTGTACGGCTTACTGAACTTACCATCTTAACTGGCCTGAGTCTCTTGCAAGGGATTGCGCTGCGGCTTCTAGAGGTGTAAGGCTTGCAGGCTCCAGGCTCAGGCCGTGATGAAAAAGAAAAAGAAGGCGCACCCCTGGACCCTACAACCGATAACTAAGCTGAAGGCCATTGAAACGGAACCGTACATCCCAAATCCTAACTCCACAAGCACTGTAGCAGCTCACATGGTGAGAGCCGTCAGGCAGAAAGCCTCGACCAGGAGCAGAACCTCGTCAATGAGATCCACGAAGTCAACCTAAACAGGGCTTCGAGTTTAGGTCCGTTTAGGGCGGCTTCGGCGCAGCCCGACAGGATTTCCGACTGTGTAGGCCGTGATGTGTTTACTGCTTCCTCCCACGACTACCCCTACCCGCTCCTAGTATTCCTGGTTCTCCTTGTACGCCTGATACTCCTGCTACTCCTACCACTTTTACTACCCCTCCTCCCCTGCTGCTCCTAGTCCTGCTCCTGCACTCCCACTCCCACTCCCACTCCTACTCCTCCTTCTACTAGTCGACTACTAACTACTCCGTCCTGCTGCCCCTACTCCTAAAACCCTAAGCCATAAACCCCAAACCCTACCCTCACTCCAGGTGCTACTCTTCTTGCTTTTGTCGTCTTGTCTAGCAGCTGGCTCTGGATCTGCTGGCTCCAGAGTCCGTATCCGACGCACATTTTGGAGCTGGTCCTGCATTTACGTGCAGATGTAGGGCTTTCGGTGTTTTTTTTGAGGGCCAGAGTCTAGGGTGTGAGAGGAACCCCTCCTGAACATTTACATTGTGGCCCGGGTGTAGCATGGAGTCTTGCTACATTGTCAAAGCGCGACTTTCGCAGCACAAAAACCTACCATTGGATACAAAGCAATGCTGATGCTGATGGATCAAGACCCAGTCTCGAAACCTTTGTAGCTAGCGCCTGCCTGGGAGTCTGCGGCAGCAGAGGGAGCTGTGGCATATCTTTGGCAACCAAGCAGTGCGGAGCCCCCGAGTCGCAACTATCCCCACGGACGCCGGGAATCTTGCAGGGCCCGACTTCTCAAACCGCTAAGGTGTTGAAGGTCTCTTCCGCGGGTCCAGCATCTGATGAGCTGCATTCAGCAGGCAACTCAGCCTCAAGGATTCCAACTGAAGGTACTACAGCTGCTGTTTCCAATAGCAGCAGTAGCAGCAGCAGCAGCAGCAGGACAGGGGCAGGAGCAGGAGCAGTAGCAGTGGCAGCGGCGGTAGCAGTAGCGGTCGTCGTCATGATCGTAGTGGTAGCCGTAGTGGAAGTGGTGGTAGCGGGTGTGGAGGAATCAGCAGCAGCAGCAGTAATTGATGCTGTTGCTGCTGCTGTTGAACTGTTGCTGTCGTAGCCGAAGTTGTAACTGCAGCTGTATTTGTAGTTGTAGTTGTTGCTGCTACTGCTGCACAATAGCGGTTGCTGCAGCAGCCGTACAAGCGCAGTTGTCGTAGTAGCCGTCACAGCCGCAGCAAGAAGAGGAGCAGCAACGGATCCCCACAGCATCCACTACAGTAATACTTCTAGTAAACCTTGGTCGCAACAGTTACAGTAATAGTTTAAGCAATCCTTACGGCAACCTCACAGCAACTCTCCTAAAACCAATAGTATGAAGGGTTACCAACATTGCAGTGAGCCTTGATAGCAACCAGCAAAAATCGCTCTTGGTAGCAGCATGTCAGTGCAACCCTTCATAACCTTGACCTATTCGGTGGTTGGGCTAGTAATAAACTTGAACTTCAATTGGGTCTAAGCACCCATAGATACTGCAACATGCCACCCAACTATGACAAAGTTACAAGTATCCACACAATTCCACAGAGCCAGGTCGCTGGAGCTTGTGAGGCTTCAGCCCAACCATGCTCAGAAGAAGGTTGCTCAGACCTTGGACACTCCGTTTGGGGTTCAGCCTTTATTAGAGGTTTAGGGTAGAGGTTTAGGGTTTAGGAAGAACGACCGGAAATAGTGCCAGATCGTTGTTAACTTCAGGCGCTGGGCCACGAGTTGACCTAGGGTTGTTGACACACAACCATCGGTCATAGGGCTTGATGTCGCATCGGCTTCTCAGTCTGAGATGTGCTTGCATAAGATGTGGTACATTCAACAGCTAAACCCAGCAATACCACTGAATTCTATCTATCTAACATCGACGTAGCCAGCAACAACTCTATCTAGGAGTGCTTGCTATCGTGTTTCAGGTTTCGCAGGTCGTGCCACAAGTGTGCATGTTCTATTCTGGAAAGGTTCGTTCTTGTGCTCAGCCTGTGTGTTTGCTCAGCACTGCAGACAACAATCATGAGCTGATCCCTGAACCCTGCAAGCCTAACCCCCAAACAGTGGGAATCGCAGAAAGCCTCGGCTTCTTTGGCGGCTGCGAGCTCACGGCGGAGCTGCGAGTCGTCTTCGTCTGAAGTACTCCGCTTCTGAAACTCGCTCGACCCTCGAACCCCCTAGGATGGACTACCAACGTGCAGCCCCAAGGTATTGGTAGCACCGAGGACTCCACCAAGCACCCCGTGGAGGTGCTGCTCGAGACAGTATGTCCAAGCCTCGGGTTTAGTTGTGCGGCAGACGTGGATTCGTGTTGGGGGCTTTCAGGCTTCAGTGTCTCAGGGTAGAAGGCTGTTTACCGTCTTAGCGTTCAAACGTTGGGCTTGGGTCGATCTTTCTTAAGTGTTTTAGGATTTGGGGCTTGGGATTTTAGGTTTCTCCTTTTGGGTGTTCGGCTTGCTTTTGTTTGAGGTCTGCCGAGTATCATAGTGGGGCCCTCGGCTCAAGGCTCCACAGCAAGGACTTCAGCTTGGAAAAATATGAAGCTCAATTGATAGAATTAAGTCTCAGGGTTGCGGGTTAGGGTCCACGGTTTGGAAAAGTTTGGAAGCCTAAAGTGCGGAGGCGGACACCCGATTTCCGATAGGGATCCTACGATTATGACCCCTCAAGAAGCCGACAGAGTTCGAGGCTCCCAACAGCAGGATGGGAGGCTTTAGGGTTTAGGGTTCAGGGCTTTGGGTCTATCTCGAAATTGACCGCTTCCTGTGCTGTCACTACTACCCCTGGACCACGACGAAGATGACGTCTACTAGGGCCACCACTTTCCGCTGCCGCGCTACCACTGCCACGACCACGACGACGAAGATTGCTACTACTTAAGCTGAAACAACAACAATAACAATATTAGTAGCAATAAGAATGCCAACAACAATAACAATAATAAAATAACCGTATTCCGAAGAAGAAGAAGAAGAAGGACAAAAAAACAAGCGAAAGAACATTATGCTTGTACGAATGGGAAGCCGAGCCGCCGATGTCTCCTGGGCCTGCAGGCCCTGCCACTGTGGCGTTCAGGGGAGGATGGAGGGTGTAGGCTTTGGGCTTGGGTGGCTGCTTTTAGCCGACATTTCCCTGGCAGAGTCTACTTACTTGGAGGACCTCAGTGCTGCACTGCTTTGCTTCGTCTAGCATGGGAGCCTGAAGCCAGGTACCCAGAGAGCCCAAAACCTCTTTGTTAAGGAATACTGCTTAAATTATAGGGGCATTAATATTATGATTTAAGGTATATTCCTTGATCAAGGGGTGTTGGGCTCTCTGGGTACAGGGTCTGGGTTGGGCAGCCATCGATGCGAGTCTGGGAGCGCGGGTTTCGGCTTGAGGTGTGATCTCGGGTCGCAAGATGATACGCATCGACGCATCTGCATACTGCAGGGGCCTGAATAATTACCAATACTATCTTGGTGGTTTCTTATTATAAGTATAGTATACTGGGCAACAAAACCTTATTCCAATTATTAAGGCCCCTACATTAAAGACCCTTTGTACCTGCCAGTCCTTGACCAAGCATCTTGCCCGGCTTCATCACTTTCGGAATCATGGTTTTGTCTGACGGCTAGGCTTGACATCACGAGCACTGCATACCTTGAAGGGCAGATGCCTTTCATCCCGAACCCAAAGATGAGGATCAAGTCGGCAATCACAGCGCCGTAGTCTGCGGCGCTTGGGCTTCAAATGTTGCGCCCTACATCTTTGGAAAGGGGGACCCTCACCCCTAAATAGAATCCAGTCAACCCCGCCAAACCCTCTCAGGCCTTGAATGGGCACTACCCACTAATTGTGGCCAAATCTCCTGTTTTCCCTCTGCTTCTTCTGCCGATGATGTGACGACGCCGAAGATGAGTTCTCACATCCCATCACAGCTAACTTTATTAAGAGCTTAGATCATACCTGAAACCCTGAACCCAGACCCTATACCCCTAACCTAAACCCTATACTATACACTAAACCCCCAACCTAAACCCTAAGCGCCCTTTACCCCAAACCTAAACCCTATACTATACACTAAACCCTAAACCTAAACCCTAAACACCCTATACCCTAAGCCCGATACCCCAAGCCCTCAACCCTAAGCACCCCCAACCCTAGGAGGGCCTCCAGGCTCCCGACCTCGAGGCCGATGGCCACTGCGTGAGTCAGGTCCTGGTCCTGCTTGGCTCCGAAGCGCATTGCTTGGGGTGAAGGGTACCCTTATTGAGGGGCTACTGTGGAACCCCTCAGCCATCGTCGCAAATCGCAAGCTTGAAAGAGCCTGAGAAGCGAAAAGAAACAGGTCACCATGCAACCTTTTCTCAATGAATCCAACCAGCTTCCTCCGAACGCATCAGATCGATGCGACAAGGTCTCGTGCGAGCACAGATTGGCTAGAACATCGGTCGGTCACTTCTCAAACAGAAGCACGTAGCAAGGGTCTGAGACGTGAACGCCGTCTGGTATCGGCAGCACTTCAGCGAATATCTTGCGAATGGCCGCGCTCTTGCACACAGCTGAAATCAAGCATGTTTCTACATAACAGGTGGCATACGAGTCATAGAAATTCTGTTTCGGCTGCATGCAACAAAACTGCAAAAAGGATGCTTCGGTGCCCTAGACAGACAGGGCAGCCCATGCAGTGACAAAGGTTGCCGCACCGAGACAGAAGCTTCCGACAGCTCTGCTAATCACGGCTGATCCATATGGCGTTGTTGTGCTTGGCGCACTTGTCGGCGCACTTGTCGGCGCGCTTGTCGGCGCCACTTCCTAGGAAAGTAAGGAGCTGCGCATTCGATCCGGGTGCGAAAGCCCGTGCTCCAGAGCGGTCCTTCTGCGTGCACCCGCCGCTGACAGAAGCCGTTCCGGCCCCATTGATGTTCAACGAGCTGCAGCCAGTATACGTGAACTGTTGATCGCTGGCGCAGTCCTGCAAGCCGAATTTCTGCACATCGTCAAGAAGAGCATTTCAGAATAGGCCCGACAGGACACGACACAGGAAGAAACCTGTCGGGGCTCACTACCGCCTCAACACCTTTGCTCTATGCGGAGTCGCCTACGGCACCACTTCGCTCGAAGTTCCGTCTGGCCTGGCCTGGGTGCTTCGCCCCGTAGCCACGCTGAACATGCTGAACACTGAGCTGCCTCTGAACAGAACCCACAGTCCCGAGTCTCCCGTCCTGTGATTTGCAAGCCATGGACTGTGCACAAGTGGCGCACGTGCAGTCGCTGTCGCAGCTGCTGGCTGGAGCCTGGTCACGAAACAGGAGGCCAGCTCTCTCGAATTACAAAAGACCCGCCGGGACCCCGGAGCAATCTCCATCGTCGTAGTTGCACCTTGCGGGCTTTCCAAGACGAAGCGGCATGTTACGAGACATAAAACTAGACTAGACTCACTGCTAGAAAAAACTTCTTCTCTGGGGCTCACATTCCCGAGGCCCACCCATCATAGCAGATTCAGATAAAGAAAGACTGGTGGCAGAGCAAGGCTAGCAGAACTGCAAGCTGAGGTTCTGTGCATTGTTGCAAACACCGTCACATTCGCTGTCACCGCGCCAGCTAGAATGGCAACCGTCTGCACACTCCTTTGCAGTGCTACTCAACAGGTCGAAAACCCTGAGATACTCAGCTCGAGCATTTACACACTCAAAGAGGCCTTCAATCAGCAATTTGTAACATTGCACGATCTCCGATTCTTTGATAGCTCCATTGACACAATCATCATATCAACTGCAGGAAGGGGTCCTGCCTCGACAAGGGCCTACTCGCGATTGCACGCATAGCTCACTCGCACCCGTCCTGGCTGCAATCACCATCGTCGTAGTTGCACCTCATGAACACTGGAGACATCCGATGGTGCGTCAACGAACGTCATCAAGCCCAGGCACGCAGCATTGTTGCAGGAGCTATCGCATTCGCCGTCACCAAGCCACGAAGAATAACATCCGCTGGCACAGTCAGTAGATGGCGCAGCCGTCGTTGTCGTTGGGGCCTGTCGAGCTTTCGATCAGCTCATCATCCCCTGCACTGGTCACCCTACAATTCTTGCTGATCTTGGAACGAGGTTGATTAGGACGGATATGAGGGAACGTGGTCCCGTCTGGCGTTTTAGGATCTCGCCTCTGAGTCATCGAACTTGATGTAGTAGCGTATACCGTTGCAGGCAAGAATAGTGTTCCTAAACAGGCACGGAACACTTCCTTGCATGTGTCGCCTGTTTGCATGCACCTATCCACAAGCATGGCACTATAGACATGGCATGGAGCCGGCAGTGGATTGTGACGCTGACCATGGGAAACTTCAGTGCAGTGCCGTCGCCGCCAGTAATCTGCGTGAAGCCACCTGTGGAGAAGCAGCTTGTGGGGCCTGATGATGACCAATCGGCCAGCGTCGTGCCAAAGAATTCTGTGTCCACCTCTATAGTGTCATCACCTCCGTCGACCACGATGTGAGCACGGTCGGCGTAGTAGCTCCCATCGTATTTGTAGGTCTTTGATGTGACGATATCCGCAGATCTGGCATCCTGCACAGGCGCCCAGACAAACCCCCCAGTTTCTTCCCAACCCTAGGCCTATAGACCGAATCACAGCACGGAAAAGACCTTCCCACACTTTCCGCCTCCGGAAGGGTGCATCCATAGCCAATGACCACCTAAACATTCAAGCTGCTGGGAAGGGCATTCACACACACACACAGACACACACACTTTGGCACATTCACTGACGCGAACATAAAACTGTCACAAATCTCGTTATCTCGTTTACAAGCACGGACGCTTCGAGGCTCCCAAGCCCTTCACTATCCTTCACTTCCTGAAGTTGCTTACTCCTGACTTCCGGCTGTGCCACCAAGGTCAACAGGAGACTCACAGCAAACAGCATTGCGGCAGCAAGGGACCAGCGGAAGTGATGAGCAGAAAGTGCTGCAAATGTGCGCGCGAAATTGAGAACTGCCAGATTTAGGGGTTTAGGGTTTAGGGTTTAGTTTAGGGTTTAGGGCGAACATGGCGTCTATCGACCCGCTACGGGCAGGAGGCACCTACGAGATGGCACGCAACGACACCGGGGAGCCTGTCAGATTTTTCGAGGGCCTAGATCATGCTTCACGCCTAAGTCTTTCAGTGGCTTCACATGGGCATGGGTTAGGCTTCCGGGCTCCAAGTGACTGTCCGAGGTCATGTTCGACACTGCACTTCTTCCAAGCAATCAGGGCACACCTAAATCAAAGGCAATCGGAATCGGCTATGCCGTGGAGCCGTCTCCGAGATCCACCACTGCACGCAGGGCTTTCGCAGCTTCAGGTCTCAAAACCAAATTCACCCCTACCCAGAGCCTCATCGGAGTAGCCAAGAGACTTTAAGGCATTGAAAGTGATCAAAGCCCAAGCAGAAGCACCATGGCATGCAGCATGACATGTACCGAGCTCTGCTCTTACGAAAGCATCGAACAAGCTGTTTTCAGACATCCGGCAGTCGACAGTCGTCAGTTTTCGCTGATTTGGTGAAGCTCAAGTTGCAAACGTAAGGGACAAAGTCCAAGGAAACCCAGGTCGGGAGTGTGAAACGCCTCAGAATCTGAGGCACGAAATTAATAAGTAAACTTTGCGCGCAGTTGGGAGCTATATTATATTCGGACAGACTCAGCCAAGCAGGTCCGCTGTATCTCAGCTGAGGGTGCCGGACTTTTTCAGCTGCAGCTCGGTGATGTGCTTCTGGGACCGCCGCCGATTGCTCTCACGGCGTTTCTGGACATGAACATCACTGTGACAGAAGGCACAAGGATGCCGATGACAGCCTGTCTTGGTGCCAACGAAGATGCAGGGTCGGCAGTGGTCTCCGCAAAACGGCTTTTCCTGGCTCTTCACAGCCACGGCCGGTGGCGACTTACCGCCGTGACTGTCTGCAGGAAGCATTTGCCAAGCGAGCACGAGGCTGGCGAAAGCCTTACCTGGCCGAAGCGACGGATTCATGAGACATTACTCGCTTCGCATCCCGACAAGACATGGCTGCAAAGGACGGAGTGGGGAGATCTCGGCAGCCTGGAGCATGCTCCGTTGCCCTAGAACTGAGCACCGTGCCATGCTGCGAAGATTCCGACGTCTTCAAGCTTGGGTGCAGCCTGTCTTCATCGTCGCTTCGCGGCGTGATAAGAGCACTGCTATCACCCATGGCCAGCGGCACAGAAGTTGACAAGAAACGGCCGTAAGCCAAGCTCGCCAGCATGTCCAAAGGTATTTTCAAACAATCGCAAATCCCAGGCCAGACATCACTCAGATGTGGTACAGGCCATCTCCATCACATCTATTTCACAACTTGCTTCGTGTTGAGAGGAGTCACGAGGGGGCTCTTGTTGAAATCGAATCTTTCACGGATTGGAGCGCGACGGCTCGCTTCTTATGACTAAAGACTCAACCCACAATGCGAAAGTCTGCAAAAACCTGGCAACCCTATTGACCGAAACTAACCGAGACTCTAGCCAAATCGCTGGCGCTGGCTTGTATCACCAACCCGAAACCGTTTTCAATCCCAAGCTCCTGCTTAATGCCAGTGAACGTCACGTAGAGCACAGGACCCTCCTGGCGGGACAGGAGACAGTTGTCCAAGCCAGCCATGTGCCACCGGCCGAAACAAATTGCAATTTGAGGATAAGTTTAAGGATCTGTCATCATCCCGAGAGAGAACTAACGAGAAGTTCGTGCCATGAAGCCGACAGGCAGGGGGAAAATGGCAGCATAGCGCCATGTGACCCCACAGTCGCCATGCTTAGCCCATCCAGGACTCAGACTCTTGAACCCTTCACCCTTGGACCCTAAATCTTGAATCCATAACCCCGCTGCCCGAGCCTCGAACCCCACCCGTGCAGACAACCAGCGCTCCTTAAATGCAAGCCGCGTTGGCCTCAAGTGGTCTTGGCATTTGGGGGTTGACGGTCTACATCACGTTCCCTCATAGGAATTCTGCTGCCACAGTCTATGGAGAAGATGGAAACCTTCAACCGCAAAGGCTTGCCCGAGATTTGGACTTGCAGCTTGGAGGTTCGGCAAAAGCCAGTGCTTGAAGCTCCAGCTGGGAGCTTATCAGAGAGGGTGAACAGGTAAACCATGCTCAAAAATCATTGAAATCTTCGACGGAAAAGTGGGACAGTGGATCAGTACGATTAATTACAGGTCGTCGCACAAGGAAGATTCAACATCCTTCAACAATCGAACTCAAGCGCCGTCCAAGACACACCGCAGGGGCAGAGCTCTGCACCTTGCAAGACAGGCTGGAGATTTGAAGTTGGGTCGCTCGATGCCCGTGATACTAGACGACAACTACTACTCCTCCTCCTCCTGCTCCTCCTGCTCCTGCTTCTCCTGCTGCTCCTGCTGCTCCTGCTGCTCCTGCTGCTCCTGCTGCTCCTGCTGCTCCTGCTGCTCTGCTGCTCCTCCTGCTCCTCCTGCTCCTGCTGCTCCTGCTGCTCCTGCTGCTCCTGCTGCTCCTGCTGCTCTGCTGCTCCTGCTGCTCCTGCTACTCCTGCTGCTCCTGCTGCTCCTGCTGCTCCTGCTGCTCTGCTGCTCCTCTGCTCCTCCTGCTCCTCCTGCTCCTGCTGCTCCTGCTGCTCCTGCTGCTCCTGCTGCTCTGCTGCTCCTGCTCCTGCTGCTCCTGCTGCTCCTGCTGCTCCTGCTGCTCCTGCTGCTCCTGCTGCTCCTGCTGCTCCTGCTGCTCTGCTGCTCCTGCTGCTCCTGCTGCTCCTGCTGCTCCTGCTGCTCCTGCTGCTCCTGCTGCTCTGCTGCTCCTGCTGCTGCTCCTGCTGCTCCTGCTGCTCCTGCTGCTCCTGCTGCTCCTGCTGCTCCTGCTGCTCCTGCTGCTCCTGCTGCTCCTGCTGCTCCTGCTGCTCCTGCTGCTCTCTGCTGCTCCTGCTGCTCCTGCTGCTCCTGCTGCTCCTGCTGCTCCTGCTGCTCCTGCTGCTCTGCTGCTCCTGCTGCTCCTGCTGCTCCTGCTGCTCCTGCTGCTGCTCCTGCTGCTCCTGCTGCTCCTGCTGCTCCTGCTGCTCCTGCTGCTCCTGCTGCTCCTGCTGCTCCTGCTGCTCCTGCTGCTCCTGCTGCTCCTGCTCCTGCCTGCTCCTCCTGCTCCTCCTGCTCCTCCTGCTCCTCCTGCTGCTCCTGCTGCTCCTGCTGCTCCTGCTGCTCCTGCTGCTCCTGCTGCTCCTGCTGCTCCTGCTGCTCCTGCTGCTCTGCTGCTCCTCCTGCTCCTGCTGCTCCTGCTGCTCCTGCTGCTCCTGCTGCTCTGCTGCTCCTGCTGCTCCTGCTGCTCCTGCTGCTCCTGCTGCTCCTGCTGCTCCTGCTGCTCTGCTGCTCCTGCTGCTCCTGCTGCTCCTGCTGCTCCTGCTGCTCCTGCTGCTCCTGCTGCTCCTGCTGCTCCTGCTGCTCCTGCTGCTCCTGCTGCTCTGCTGCTCATGCTGCTGCTGCTCCTCCTGTCCTCCTGCTCCTGCTGCTCCTCCTGCTCCTGCTGCTCCTGCTGCTGCTGCTTCTGCTGCTTCTGCTACTCTGCTACTCTGCTACTCTGCTACTCTGCTACTCTGGTACTCTGCTACTCTGCTGCTCTGCTACTCTGCTACTCTGCTACTCTGCTACTCTGCTGATCTGCTACTCTGCTACTCTGCTACTCTGCTACTCTGCTACTCTGCTACTCTGCTACTCTGCTACTCTGCTACACCTACAGCTACTGAATACCACCAGTTACTCCCACAGCCCGCGATCCACCACGACCACGAGATGATGATGACGACGATGACCACCACCACCACCACCCACCACCACCACCACCACCACCACCACGACCACCACCACAGCAGTGATGTATGATGGCAGTGCCTGCGATCTGCCACTGTGCTGAGGCTCCGATTATTCACACAAGATCCGCATCCTCCAGATCATCACATTGGCCTCGTTTTCGCCTCGAAATGTGTAAATCCTGCCAGTATATGGGGAGAAGCATTTCCGCCATGGTCCTCAATCCCGTCATGTCACTGAACCCGCCTGCAAATGGAGGGAAGCATGGTAGCCGTGGTCATAAAGTCATAAACTGTGCTAATGGGGAGAAGCATGGTGCCAATACATGGAGAAGCTTTTTGGCTGTGGCGTTCTCTCTGGGTCTGGTGGTCTTTCGTCCTGGCCGTGGCTGCGCACTGGGTTCTCGGTCTTCGCTGGTCTTTCACTGCTTGGGGATCTACGCTGGCATAACTGTTTGAAACTGACCCTGCTCGTGACAATACAAGGACGATAAGGTTGGAACAAGAACTGCAGCGCAGCGTTCGGACAACTGCAATCTGAGGTCCGATCCACCACATGCTAAAGCATGTATTCCCGGCAACCCGGCCCTTCGTCTCTGAAAACATGACCTGTGCCAGCGCCGCGACGAAAGCTTGTCGGCTGCTGGGTTCCAGTAGGTCGTGCAGCAAGGCACCTCTGTCGAACGTAGGACTGGTGTTTAGGGTTTAGGGTTAGGGGTTTAGGGTTTAGGGTTTAGGGTTCAGTGAACACTGCTGCCACTAACAACAGCAGTAACAGCAATGAGATGCGCGCACTAGTAGCCGTTGCATAGCGATTGACGGACATGTATACTAGCTATATACTGCTTGGAGCGTCGTCACGGCTAACAATTGGAGATCTGAGGTGTGCAAAATCTGGCATCTCTGATGCTACGGACTCTGCAGATACGGACACACATACTAAACATAAGTGCAACTACATCTTACTTGTGCAGAAACACAGTTTACACTGCCACTGCAGTTATCAGTTATCATGCATCATGTTCCCGAACCCGACACCCCAAACATCCCCAAACTCTGAGCACTAAAATCTCAAAACCCTCCAAGAAAGCCTCATATCAAAGCGCCAAACTTCCATCTCTCCCCCCTCAAAATCGGCCGTGGCCACCTGTCTCGGCTGCAAGGAGGGCCTCGGGTTTCGGGCCATTTCGGGCATGAGTTCACGGATTTAAGGCCTTGGGCTTGGGATTTTCGGAGTTTACGGATTTTTTGGAGTTTACGGATTTACGGCCTTGGGTTTGGGATTTTTGGAGTTTGGGGTTCGGGCTTAGAGGTGCCGGGCCTTGAGATTTTGGGGCGGGCTCAAAGCTCCGCCGATCGGAGTATCCGCCTCCCCGACAAGGCATCCTCAACAGCTCGAAGCCATGGAAGTCTTATGGGAGTTTCCGAAACTTAGGGGTACCTTGTTTGGGGGTCCTTATAATAAGGATCCTACTGTTTAGGGTAGTATATTAGATTATTAGGGCCCCCTACTTTCGGAAACTCCCTCATAGTGTTCTTGAAAGTGTCTTTGGTTCGATTTTAAGCTCCTTTTTCCGTCTGCACAACCCTTTACATGTTGGCGTCCCGAAGGCAGTGCCAGGACTTGAGAGGACAGATTCGCCCCGTTCAATGAAGGATCCGATATCGCTCAGCTGGCACCATCGGGTTTGGCTTAGGGTTCACATGTAGGACCGAAAAAACAGAGCCGGCTTCTGTCAAGAGGAGCGATCGTCAAGCAGACTCCCACTCTTATTTATGATACCATACTAGGCTGAGCTATACTGTACCATACTATACTATACTGTAAAGTACTGTACTGTACTATACTGCACTTTACACCAAACCAGATATCAGACGACCACATACTGGGCGATATTCTAAAGTCTGTGTGTGTATATATATATATATATATATATATATATATATGTATATGTGTGTGTCCACATATATATATATATATATATATGTATTTATATCCTATAATATATATTGGACTGTATGCTATACTATACTATACTAGACTATACTATACTGTATACTGTACCATACTATATCATACTATCTTCGACCCTCCGCGTCTCCATCTTAACCTAAACCCCTAAAAGTCTACAAAATATGCCATGTTATCCCATACTGTACAATACCATGCCATACTGCACCGTACCATACTAAACGAAGACACCTCTACAATACTATACCATCCAATACAATGCTATGTCATACTATACCGTACTATACCATAAAACACCCCACTATACCATACTTACTATACCATAGCAGACCATACTTACCACAGTATACCGTACTATACCGTACTATACCGTACTACACCATTATCTACCAGACTATGCCAGAGTCTATCATAGTGCGCCACAATACACCATACTTGACCGTACTCCACGTGACTATACTACGCCACACTCGTGCAAAGCTCCTCTGAACAGCAGCAAACGGCAGCGTGCAGGAGGCGGGCGGGACAAAGGTTCTCTCAGCTTTCGGCGCGCTCAGTCTCAAATACTATGGGGCCGGACCTCAATCAGTAGAAGAGCGTTCCTTAAAGGGCCCCTAAAAGGATCTTGTGGGATTCTGTTGGGGTCTTATACGGTTGGAACGCAGGGGCCTTAACACCGAGAGCGGAGTTTGGGGTATTCTGGAGTATCGTTCTACGGGACTATAGATAAGGGAATGCTGTTAACAATTAATCTGAGGGACTATAAATAAGGGAGTACTGAGTACTGGTAGTAATCCGACTCCCAGATTAGCTGCGCTGACTTTTGCTTGACTGAGCCGCGCCTTGAACGCAGCCATGGACTTCGACCTCGTCTCGCCCTGATCCGTGGAGTGCGGCTCACCGCTACGGTGGGTTGAACTTGCAGAAGAAGCCATTCAGGCCCTGGAGCCCCTTGCTGTTGAAAAGCATGTGGAGGATCTCCAATCCTGCAAGGGACCTGAGGAGACCAAAATTCTAAATCCGAGGCCCTTGACGGTGACCAGAACCCTAGCAGGCCCGAAACAGACCCCCAGTTCGGAAATCCCGCTTCAGCTTTGCCTACGCTTCAGGGTTTGGCTGAGGCTTCCGCATCCCGTCATTGCCACGGTGCAGTAGGCAAAGAAGGGCAACGAGAAGCCGCTCAAACCAGCGCCACTCCGGTGTCATGAGCATGTTAATGCTGCCAGCGAGGATGAGGAAGCATTCCTCGCAGGACCGTACTTGGAGGAGTGGGAGCCTAACAAGCGGGAAAGTGGCATCTATACATAAATACATAAATATATATATATATATATATGTATATAGATGTATATGTGTGTATGTGTATATATACAGTACATAGATAGATAGATAGATAGATAGATAGGTGTATATATATATATATGTATATGTATGTGTGTGTACATATACATCAACATGTAGATAAAAGAACATGCAAACTATATATGTACACACACCTATGTGTGCATGCATGTGTATATATATGTATATATACATGCCGGTTAGTATATACATGTACATGCATATGTAAGAACGAATCTAAGCAAATGTGCATGTGTATACACATATATATATGGACACACATATCGCATATGTATGTAGATGTCTGTATGTATGTAAATATACACGTACTTACCTGGCTAGTCAAAGAAACCAATTTTATGTAGCAGTTAGGCATTGCTGCTGTTTTTGTGATGACTGCTATACCACTACATACCACTACATACCACATACTACTACTGCCACTTCTTCTTCTTCTGATACTACTACTACTACTACTACTACTACTACTACTACTACTACTACTACTACTACTACTACTACTACTACTACTACTACTACTACTACTACTACTACTGCTACTGCTACTGCTACTGCTACTGCTGCTGCTACTGCTACTGCTACCGCTACTGCTACTGCTACTGCTACTTCTACTGGTACTTCTACTGGTACTACCACTCACTACTACTGCTATTACTGTTAATGCCTTTGTATACAGTTCGCCTCTATGTAAATGTTGAGGTGACAAGCGAAGGACAACAAACCTGTGCGGATCCCAGCAAAAACCACATCGTGCCTACTGCTCGCCTATAGCACAGATGCCTTGGGACTGAGCTACGGGCATGCTGACCTGAGGTAAGGTTGGAGCCCGGCAGAAACGTTGGGAGTTGTCAGGTGTCATTCATGGCTGATGCTGCAAGGATGCTGCTCTTCTCTCCCTTGCCCACCCTCATACAATCCCAGATCCCAGGCAAGTATCCCTCCAGAGGATGGGACTGAACCATCCGCTCGTTAGCATGCCGGCGATCACCAGCAACGTTGCCGCCGCGTGGAAAAAGTGCTTTGTGCAGATACCCAGTAAGAGCACCTGGACTCTAGAGTATATGTAAACAGTGAGAGCCACTGAATGTCAAGTTTCCTGAGTACCGAAAAGCTTATGATGTGAACGATGTCCCTGGGGTGGGGGATCGTAAACCTACCACATATAGCGATCGTGGTATCTTCGACAAAGAGATGCTTAACAAGAGCCTGGGCACTCCCGTGAAGAAGCCAAGGTTGGCGCCGAGCCCAAACCTGGAGAGAAGAAGGTTTCTCGCTCGGACGTAAAATAGGGGCCTTCATGATTAGAATTGAGTCTTGGGGTAGACGATACTATACACATAATGAGGAACCCCCAAGACCCTATTCGAACTATTGAGGCCCCTGCACAACCGGTTTATTTGGGATCTCGGCTAGGGTTTCAGTTTAGGGCTTTAGGGTTTAGCGGTTAGGTTTTTGGGTTCAGGTGTAAGTACTTGGTGCGGCGGGGCTGACAAAATAGAGTATGTTGTACTGTGGTTCTGTAAAAAAAGTCGCGCAATAATCGGTGGGCAAGTTTGATGAGGGGTCGACGTGTTGATGGGCTTGCGGCTTGGGACTGCGAGTTTTGGCGTCTAAGGTCCGTTCTTGGGGAGGCTCTGCATGCCGGGACCTGCCGCTTCATGCGAGAATGTCTTAGCACATGTGCTTCGGGCTGCTACAAACTGTCAAACAAGTAGAAGCAGGTACCTCGTGGGGGAGCCCTAATGTAGAACTGCCACCCTTCCTGTCACTACCCATCTCTCCAACAAGGGCTAACAAGGTGTGAGAGGTCTAGAGTTTAGGGTTCAGGTTTTCAGGTCCAGGAGCATCCCGTCGCAGCCGTAGCTGACATAGGTGTAAGCGAACCAGGAGCCCGCCACCGTGAAAAGCACCATAACCTGCAGCTCAAGGCTGTGGCAGTGCTAGGCACTTCGGGCTGAAGCATTGGGGGTTTCTAAGAGGGCTTGACGGCTGGTGAAGCACGACAAATCTATGAATCCGCTCCCTCTGCCTGCAGGCGAATAAACCCGAGCACACCCTCAAGAGTTTTGGCGTCGCCAGTCTCTGGTTGAAAAGCGGCGGAGGTGTTGTCCTTCGGCGATCTTGCCTGGTATTGCGGTGCCTGTTTCATCCCCTTTCTGGGTGGCCTGGCCTGCATTTGGCCTTTCTGTGAGGGCTGCATATGGTTTGAAGCTGTTGAAGAACTACGATTCGGGTCCGGTTCTGTAGCAAGGTTGCACGGTCAGCTTTGTGTGTCAAGCTGCTGGGAAGTTTCAATTTGTAGGGGTCCTGTGTTTCAGCAAGCTAAGGATGCATTGCGCAATCAAGTGTTTCTTCGTTTCGCCTCTTAGTAAGGGTTGTGGAGCTGGGGGATCAACGCCCCGACTGTCTTTTACACCTCTGTGCTGGATCCTTACTCAGGAACTTTGTGCCGTATCTTCACAAGGAAAACAACTGAGAACATGCTCCAGCTACGGTAAGTTCCACACCTTCCTAAACCTGACAAAATCCAATCAAGCCAATCGATAACCCTTTGCTGCCGACAAGCCAATCTGAACTTACTGTAAACCAACTCTATGAAAAAAGTTTACAAAGGACAGGCTGCTAAACCCGATGTTCCTCAACTAAAGGGTCAGTGGGCTCTCCGGGCTTGCAGGCAAGCACGTGTAGCCGAGGTGCGAGGGAGGCGGACCACTGCGCCCAGCGAGTGACGAAGAACTCGCCATGAACGGTGCCCAACAGATTCACCTCTTAGGGGTTTCTAGGGCTTGTAATGCTTCATAGGGTCTTATGGGGTTGCGAAGGGTTTACATGGTTTCACAAGCTGGCGATTAAGGCTTTAGAAACTCACCTCCCGAAATATTTGCTGGGTTATGAAAGGTGCATAGACTTTCACTTCAGTTGTCAAGGTTTGGCTTAGGGGCCGTAAGTTGTGGGTTCATGAGCCCGAAACATTGAACCGGAAACCCGAAGACATTGTGGGTTCCACTATGTGGCCTCCAATTCTTGAACAGGGCTTGGGTGTAGATTGTCATGCAAGTACATCAAGCTCGCAAGGAGTGAGTGCGTGAGTGAGTAAATGACACTCCGCAAATGTCATTGCCCCTTTCCGTCACTGAGTTCAAGTGAGGGAAAATTAGCTAGCGCAGACAGGTTGCTGCAACAGTACAGAAAGCATAACCCCTGAGAATAAAGCTGGAAACCATTTTTCTGCGGTCGCAAAGGTCCACCAAGGTTGAGATGTCTGATGGAAAGAACTTCTCTCAACCATGGTCTACGTGGGCCCACTAATCCCCGATGTGAGAACACAAGGGAACTCTTGCAGGCCGTAAGCACCAGAATCGAGTGGATGTTGCTTCCTTATCCGAAGGCCCACACATCTTGACCACAACGACTCTTCCCGCTCCGCAACAGCTCTCCGCATGCCGAGTGATATTGCTCGCGTTTACATGAACTATTACTTTCACCCATCATGCACCGAAGTTCCAACACACGTTGGAAAGCTACCGAGCGTGTCAAGCCCTTGTCCACACGCTGCCCGTACTCCCCAAACCTGAATCCAAAAGTCCATCCTCCAGCTCTAAACCCTCAAACCCGAACCCCGAAACCCTTGAACCTCTAAACTAACCGTAATCCTAAACCAACCCCAACACCCTCAAAGCCACAAAACCTACCAACGACCCCTGCCTTGATACAAAAGAAGAGCAGCAAGGCAAAGCCCATGCCTGGGATCTTGCTAAGGAAAGTAAGCTTCAAAGCCAAGGCAGGGGGCCTAAAAGTTTAAAATGGGGTTTAGCTCCTGTATAGTCTGATCATATTAAGGAACCCTAAGGGATCAGATTCCTGTCCTGTCCTGTGCTGACATGTCGTGCCCTATGCGGGCGCGTCCAAAAATGCGCCTGAATTCGACGGTGAAACATGGATTGGTCGCTGCAGCCAGAAGTCCGCTGTACCGGACCTGGCACCTTCCCTGGACTCTCTGCACACGGACTCCTCGACCCAGGTAAGTGTTTCAGGGGAAGGACGGAAGAGAGTCTGGATCCGGCCTACCGTGAGTTCATCTTCGTCTAGTCCGTTAATGGCCTCCTGGTATGTGGGAGCCAACGGACCCTGACACTGCAGGATCGGCGTGGCCGCAGAGTAGTTTTGCCACCCCCCTAGTCTGACCTTGCGTCGACGAAGCGCTTCGTCGTGCTCGTTATCCCTGATTTGTTCGAGGGAGAGCGGGGGGACCAAGTGTGCACTGCGCAACAGACACTCGCTACTACGGCGGAGGTGGTACTGCACACGCTCTAAGGAGTGACAAAACTTCAAGCAGGCGATGCACCAGGGTGCTCTCGAGTAATGGCGAGCGGGACACAATGCTCCATGTTTGCGAGCCTCGTGCAGAGCTACAGCCTTATGCAGAGCAAAAGTAGCGGAGCACCACCTGCATTGGAAGGGAAGGGGACCCGCAGGACCGGGGGTCGGAGCTTCCGCAGGAGCTTCTTGTCGCTGTGCCCAAGCAAGAAGATCCTGCTTATAGGCCTTGATGGCAAGCTTGATTTGTGCTGGCCACCAGCGCGGGTCGTCCTGGGCCGTCTCGATCAAAGTCGTTACCGGGCAGCTACTGTTCAAGATCAGACCGATCGTTGGCACATACACAGCAACTGCTTGCATATCCTTGCACAACTGGTTGAGCCATGCCGAAGCAGGTCTGGTTCGCCAATGGATGTGCAGGAGATGCAGTACTGCCGCCGGGCCGTAGGTCAAGAGTCTCTTCAAGAAAACTGCACGGGACAAGGCCAGGGCCAGCAACGGCGAAGGTGCGTCCGCCTGTAACAAGAGTCGGTACGAGTGCGGGCGATCCTGTGGTTTGCCGGCTCTCTGCAAAGCTCCCCATAGCTCAACATAGTGTCGACACCAGGTACGACGGTGAATGGCCGAGTTGAGGTCGACAACCGCGCACGCGAAGACAAACCGAGACACCACCAAGCTCCGCAACAAGACAATGCGGGTGGTCAAAGGCACGCTTTTGGCAGCGAACAAACGTCTCCTAAGAGGACGCAAGACAGCCGAGGCCATAGAGAACCTGTACGCAATGTCAACGGAGGGGGTGCAGTTCGCAGTGATGATGCCCCCAAGGTGGCGGTAGGAGTCCACAATGGGCAGGAAGTGGCACAACCCAGTGATGCCATCTTGGATGTAGAATCCTGGAAGCCCATCAGGGTTCTGTGGTGTGACTGGTAGCGGAGCCCGCGTGCATGACAAGGGAAGGAGGGTGGCCGTCTTGTCCGTCGCGAAGGTAAGCGCCATGCCTACCGAGGATGCTCGTTCCAGGTGAACTTGTACCGCCTGAACTACAACATGCTCAAGGTCGGCTGACGTGGCGGCCTGTTGCAGATGGGCATAATCGTCCGCCCACGAGGCATGTTGGATGGTAGGAGGCACATCCCAGGAGTGCCATGGCGCCGCACACTCCTCCTTAGGCACACTAGTGGAGAGACCTTTCTGTTCTAGGGTAAGTTCGACAGATCGAAGGTAGCTGGCGAAACAAAATCCAAACAGGAGGTCGGCAAGTGGGTCACCGGGTCGGCTACCACGGTGCGTGGCTGTGAGGAGAGAATCCGGTTCGAGCCTAAACCATGAACCCCTGAAAAGGTCGGCAATCACCGACTGCAGATGTCCTGAAACCTTGGCTTCATCTAGGGTAGCCATGGACTGAAGATGCTCACATAACTCACCCACGGCATGAGGAGGAACGCCGGCTTTCTGCAGCAACCTCAGAAGAGCAGCATCTTCATCGGGAGATTTCAACAAAACCTGCCGCAATACCCGATAGTAAGCCGCCTTGAGGTCGTAAAAAGTGATGGCTGTGGAGTGGGAACGACGCATCATACAACCCTGGAACGAGCGGACCATCAAAGAAATGGTGTCCACTCCAATCCCTCGAGAGGTTCCGGCCTGCTGCCCGTGTTTGAAGTTCTCAAGGTGTGGAGCCAATTTACCCCGAAGGACCTTATGGTAGATCTTCCCCGTGGTGCTGGCTAACAAGATGGAACGATACCCGGAGCAGTCAAGCGCGGTAACTGCGCGCTTCGCAAGAGCCATCAGCGTGCCGCCACGCCATTCCACTGGCTCTCTCACACTAAGAAAGGATTTCAGGAAAAGGGGGTACAGCTTAAGTGCCGACATTCCAGGACATACCTGATATGCCTCCACGGCCAAGCCATCCGGCCCCACGGCCTTGCCCTTTTTGGCTGCGAGCAGGTGCTCTTCCAAGTCCAGTAAAGTGGGCAGGTCGCCCAAGCTGAAGCTAGGGCCATCTGGCAGTACCGGGATATCGGGGTGGTTGAAAAGCTCGACATACTGGGCGTCCGTGACTGCATGTCCTGCTTCCTGGGATCCAAAAAAGTCCCTCCACCTTTGGTTGCGTTGAGCGGGTGTCACGGCCATCTCGCCACTGTCGAGACGGATCGCTGGAAGCGGAACAAAGCTGGATCGTTTGGAAGACTTGGCCGCTGGGAAAGCACGGCGCACCGCAGCAAAGAGTTTCCTGGGCTCTCTCAGATCACAAAGTGAGATCTGCGAAGTCAGCTGCTGCAGGTAGGCAGTGCGGTCAACCTTGACGGCAATCCGAATGGCTTGTGTGCTCCGCCTCAAATCGGCCACTGCACGAGCGATGCTGATGTCGATCTGCGAAAGCCACCTTGCCGCCCGGACGGTTGCATCTGGTGCGAGAGGCACATGCTGCACTCGGCTGACTAGTGCTGCAAAAGCAATCAGCAGAAGGCGACGATCGGACTCCTGCTGTTCCTGTTTGATGTAGTTTCGCAGGGCTGCGCGATACTGAACAAGCTCCAGTGTCTCCTGGGACAAGTAGCACTGCCGCGGCCGAGGAGGGGCATGTGACTGGACCACTTCATTGGCCCTGCGATAGTCCGTTACAACACGTGTGAAATGCTGATCAACGGAAGTCTGCCATGCAGTATCCGGAGAGGCCACAAGACTTTCCATGTATAGGGCGCGGTCCACAGGGCACATGTCCAGTGGCGGACGGCACGGTGAACGCTTGGCTCTGGAAACAGTCGTGGGTGCCATGGCCTTGCCAAAGTTAGCACAGAGGACAACTGGGTAGTGATCTTGCCGCGGCTGCAGGGCCTCGATGCCTGTCCAGACAGAGGTCTGGATGTCGCAACCCTGCCATCCGACTGGGACCCCAACATAATCAAGCCTCCTGTACAGAGGGGGGATGCTAGGAGAGACCCAAGTCCACGATTGCCCAGTATGGTGTTGAGAAAATGTGGATGGCACAAAGCATTGCACTGTGTGCAGGAATTCATGAAAGACAATGCCTGCATCACATTCTGGCTCGGCATCATGTCCCCCTACAACTTCCGTGCTGACAGAACCGAGTCTGCTGTTGGCGTCAAGCAGAAGGACAATTTGCGAGTTGTCTGGCCGCTTCTGTAGGTCATGAGCGCGCTGACTCCAAAACGCCCTGACTGCAGAAGCATCGGCGCAGGCCGCGGAAGGTCCATGTGCAACAAGGATGGTAAGGCTGATCCAAGGAGTCACTACTTGGACCTGAAGATGGCGCGGAGAGTAGCCCGTCACAAGGATCTGGTCTTTCGTGACATAACAGGGTCGACCCTGCTGCCAAGCAATGGCGACGCGTAGGTCCAGCCACAAGGCACACCCATAGGACCCGCTTGCTGTAGCTCCCGAACAAAGCATCACCATCTCTCCGTCGGGAAGTTGGGCGTCCTCAGGCAGACGCGTCTCCTGGAGACCAAGCGCCCAAAGACCTCTGGCCTTCATTTGTGCCTTCAACAAATCCCTTTTGCCAGCTATCATCATGCCATATGCACCTGCCCTGGCTTTACGGCCTCTGCTGGACGCAGGGTCGAAGAGGGTCAATACATTGTAGGAAGCGAGCTTAAGCGAAAAAGAGATGTCACAGGCAGGGTGGACTGTATGTACAACTCCCATCGCAGGGACAGAGACATCGCTTACCTTCTCAGCCTGCAGTCTTCTGGCTTCGGACTCCAAGGCAAAAAGGGAAGGAAGAGCTGGTGTGGAAAGCCCAACCATCCACGACCAGTGACAGAGCACATGCCTGGAGAGCTCATGTGGCCATTCAGGCAGCATTCTGGAATATACATCCTCGCTCTGCCGGCGGACATGTTTAGCTAACTGGTCAGCAAGCTCATTGCCTAAGAAGCCGGCATGTCCGGTGATGTGTTCGAAGTGCACTGGTAGGGTGACGGCCAGTTTCTGTCTGAGAGAGGCGGCGAAGAGACCCAGCCGGCCGGGGTCGTCCTGTCCAGACTCTTTGGGAACCTTAGTCTCGCCTGCAACCCCGCCACCGGCTGAAGTGCTGTCGAACAGAAAACGGAGAGGAACCTGAAAGACTCCCCCATACTCCAAGGCCCATATGCAGGCCCACGCCAGGGCCAGTTGTTCACTTGTCAGCGAGTCGTCGGTCTGTTCGCCGAGGTGATAAGGAGTATTTTCTGGTACAGCGGTATGCGCCGCGTACCCAATGAAGCGAGAAACTTGGTTGTCGCAGGCCCATACAGTGAAGGCCCACGAGCACGGCCCAAGAAGCGAAGGCTCGTCGGTGCCAGAGCTAGCAGAGCCATCCGTGTAAATATCGATCCACTCCATGCTAGGAGCAGGCTCTGTCGGAACCCAACGGTCTATGCCCTGAAATCGTGCCACCCACGCGCGGGGAACCCGCGGG